ATAAGTCCAGGCCGATCAGCAGTAATCCGGTCGCCGGCACTCCCTGGTTCGTTGCTCCTTTAATATCTGTTGCTTTCATGGTTTTTTACTTTTGTTTTGTGATATTCTTAGGTGTGTGGTTTGGACTGGTGATCGCAAGGTGTTCTTTTACAATCCAAGCAGCCGTACGTCCGTCTGGGAAAGACCGCCAGAGCTCTACGGACGTCCTGACGTCGATCTGTTAGTCAGCAAGCCTCCAGAGCCAAAGAAAGGTAAAATTCTGCATAGACTGACATCTGTGAAGTAGTCTTCTTTGTCGTATGACCTAATGGGACTAGCACACTGTCAACCTTCTATCGTAAGGTCAAAGTTTCAGAGGCCACTTATTGCTGTGGAATACGTTCCTGAATATCACATACTCTTTCAGTACATCTACATTGCTAGTAGCATTCAGAAATTGCGCTTAGGGACTTGGTGACAACGGTCTTGTCGTTTGTTGACTGTGCTTCATCTTCGCGATCTCCTGTCGATATGCAGTTTGAAACAATGTTGACGAGCTTTGTTCATACCTGGAACCAGTTTTTAAGTCAGGGATGATGTATTTGTTTATGACGTTTGTACTCTCTTAATAAGTGTGTTACCTTAAATTGTAATTATCCACATGCGTTTGTTTCATAAACTTCACAGCTGTCGGGGCATAATGAAGAAGGTCTTCTTTGTTATGATTTAAGGTTTAATTATTTGTTAATGTAAAACTGTTTTTACAGAAAAACGTGAAGCTCAAGAAATGAAACAGGATCTTCCATTGGACGATAGCGAGCCTGTTAAAAAGAAAAAAAAGAAGTATGCTCTTGGTTAAGTTTTGTTTTCTACTTCACGATTATTGTCTTGTTTAGAAGCGCGTTCGAATTTGTTAAAGAGAAGCAGAAGGAGGCTGAAATTGCCAAACAAGCGCAGAAGGCAGCAGAACCAAAGCCTCAGAAAGAGGTCAAGCAGAAAGATGCCGCTCTCGAGGCAGAAATGAAAGCCGCACAAGAAAGAGCGCAGATTCCCCTCGAAGTTCGTATCCAACAGTTCAAGGAGATGCTTCGGAACAAAGAGGTGGGTAAATGTGAGGCGGTTTCATTTTCGCCGTGACTACGTTCCCGCACGCATATTGCATGATCGAATTCCCTTGGTTTCGCCCTTGGCTGCCACTGGCTTTGAGCTATTTCGAGTAAATTAAGCATTATGTTTTCTTTCTAAACATCTCAGACGGTGAACAGTTATAAAAGATTTACTTGGGCACATTTTAATTCCAGAAACTGACTATTTGGATTTCCGAATTCGATCCGTGTTTAGAATTACAATGACTTATGCATTTGGATGTTTTTTTACGGATTAACATGACCTGCATTATTTATATTAGACTGTTCGAGTCATCAATTTTAGAAGTAAAAGGTATGTAAATCTTTCATGCATTGTTCACCTGTTTATGACATTCCAAACGATATTTTCCGCTTAAAAAATCACATCCTATGCTGTATACAAAATATTCTATAAGAATAAATAATATATTGATACTGTGTTTGACTGATGCTATTGCGATTGCTAGTGATTGTAAGTTATAAACTAACTTCTCACCAGAATTAGTTATAACACTGTTGGTGCTGGCAAAGCTACAATAAATCTAAAACTAGGACGAAAACTAATTTAATTGAAACTTGTAATAATGGTAGTTTCTTTGCAGTTAGTCTCAGGCATGATTGTCTTTGCCTGTAGTGAGCTAATTGATATTCTAATTATGATGTTGCTGAAACTTTTAATAGCTATGCTGATGCTACAAACTACTAGTATTCTCAAGTAATTTCATTTTCATAGCTTAAAGCAGTTTCATACCGTTTGCAATTCATTTTCCTTCAACGCTTCGTTAAATATTCGCTTGGGAGAGAGACTGCTTCAGATTGGCTGGCCTTGTTGGTCTGTTGCTTTAAAAGGCGTAGTTCTGGTAGGTGCTTGGTTTATTGTATCAGTCTTGGAATATATGTCAAGACTATAAGGTTGTCTGTTTTTGCTTATATTGTTAAATCATAGTACCAGTCGTAGAGCCCGCTCTGATTAACAAATAAATAACCTCAAAGGCTGGTCAGTTAGACGTTTGTCTTTCTACGCTATTATAATACGTAGTTTTCTGATGTAAAATCTCAAAGAATTTGTACCTGCCCCAACTAAATTTTCGGGCCCGTTGTTCCTTGTTTAGGTGAGCGCATTTTCTACCTGGGAGAAGGAACTTCACAAAATCGTCTTCGATCCACGCTATCTTCTACTGACGAGCAAAGAACGCAAGAGCGTACGTGCTAATTGCGTTTTTACGGTATCAGAAAATCGCTCTATTGTATTCTCAGGTTTTCGAAGAATACGTCAAGGAACGCGCCGAAGAGGAGCGTTTAGAGCGCAAAAAGAAGCTCAAGGAGGCGAAGGAGAACTTTCAGCAGCTTCTTGAAGAAGCAGATCTGACCGGAAAGTAAACAGTATAGCTCTTGCTTTCTTTTTAGCCTCCGTTGTATCCCGTCGAAACCGTTTTCTTGCGGTTTTTATTTATTACTATTTATTGATGTACTTTTAAGTCTTTGAAGTATATTATGAAATATTTTAGTCTTAAATAGGCGTGACCAGCTTGAAATACCGTAAAGTAAGAATCATCAAAACCGATTTCGCCTTCATATTAATACAGTTGAATTTTAAATAGGCAGTTTTTTCATCAAGTATATAGTTTGTATATCATCAGTAGATGATCTTGATTATGTTACAGTCTTAGACTTAGGATAAATTAGTGCAGCAATTTGAGCTCTGTCTGGTGCTTGATAACTTTCTGCTACAGTTAAGGTGCAGAGCATCGGAATGTCTGAGCATACTCTGTGATAACAGTGTATTTGATTTGCATTCATATTAGTGTTGTAAAAAAGTGGATTTTTTACTAAAGTTATAACTGATATTGTTTTTAAAATTGTTGCTGTATAATATGCCCTAATTTTGGATCCACTTGGATCTGAAATGCTTGCATTTTGTTTAATAAACACATGTTTAATAAGCACGTGTTTTACATGCGGAGCAAACACCTTGTAGATTTTAATGATAATGAACTTTCCACCCACAAAATATCCAACTACTGTTTACAACTAGTAAAAATAAGCATCTTTAAGTTCAAGGTTATTTCAGCTACCAGTACTTTTAATGTCGACCTGCGGTGTATTGCAATCAAAACATTTACATATCTGTGTGTTAGATGAATATTGTTTAATTGAAATACCGATGTTAATTTTACATTTGAAATTTCTGCGGTATATTTTAATTGCGTCTGCTGTAGAAATTTACTGTTACTGAATTGCAAATTTATTCGCCTGTTGTTTTAAGCAATTTTTAATCATTCGATTTAGCATCAGTTTGTGGTGAGAAAAGCAATATGAATCTCATACCGCAAAATAGTTGTGGTTAATACAAATATTTGTAATCCAAGGAAAAGTTTTACTCGATGAAGGTCAGCTGCTGTATAAAAAGTTGGTCAATGTACTTTTGCTTGTTTCAGTCTGAATGTCCCATTCGCATTTTGACTACAGTCTGATTGCGGAAGGCGGGTGATGGGGCAGTGGATAAGGCGCAGTTGGTTATCAAGTTGCTTTACATGTTGTTCAGTGCAGGGTTTAAGCGCAGTGCGCGGCATAGATTTTCTGTGATCAACTGCAGATTTCCTTAAGCAATAAATTTACTTCACCGTTCTTAACTGGTCGTTGACCTATGAATATTAGAGGCAGCATAGTTGCTTCGGTGTGGTTATATCAAAACGTGCGACACGGGTCATATTGTCATGTGCGCGCTTCCAGCTGCACTTTGCTTTGATGCACCTAATAGCTGAGAAAATCAGCACTCAGCAAATCAGCTATTAAATTTAAAATTTAATAGATTTCTGATGTCACTAAAAAGCAACAAGGCTTATACCTTGTCCTGGCTATCACTCCTATATGTAAACTATCAGATCGACGAAAGTGAAATGCAGTCTGAAGAGTGCTCCTCCCGTAAGACTTTATGGTCATGCCTTGTCTATTCTATTATGATTACACCGGAACAGCGTATTATGTCTGTTGCTCGCAAGTCACCCTACTCGTGTCTCAGCTGATTTCTTCCTCAAGGGAACTAGCGGTTCCTTCTTTCTCTGGGTTCGAACTCGAAACTTCCGGAGTTCGAAGCGGATTACATTCTGTCACGGCTTGTTAACTATACTTTTCTCAACCTCTGGATTCTGATTGTTTTCTGGTATGTGACTAGTTGCCCGGATAGGGGTCGAATTGAGTTAATTTTGCCACTCAAATTAACTGGGGTGTCATCTTTCCTTTGTCGACTCAGCAGCTGATTGCTAATATTAAAATGCGAAATCTTGACGTGGCATTTCCTAAACAGCCGCAGTTCGATAAAGCGGTCAAAGGCGATGGTGACCACGCAATAACACCATCAGTCTTTCCCATAAGATTTTTAATCACTGTGGTCTTTTCCTACACAGAATTGAATTAGATCGATGTCAACGTCAGAGAATGCTACATCGCCAGCCACCGGTTGAAAACTTACGTTAAACCCTCATCTCTGAGCATCTTATATTTGGGGTGTTTTGCATTTCCATTTGCTTTGCTCGTTATGTTGATTTGGAAGCAATACACAAGGAAATAATTAATTCATACATTGCCTTTGACACAGTTATTATACGTAATCTGCCGTACATCGTGCGTCTTATACTTTATTAATGGTGGTTTCGAATTAACCTCCGTGTCGCTGAAATATCCATAATCACTGGTCATTTAACGTTTTTTTGTTTGACCCTACGTTCTTTTCATTTAGGCTATCATCTTCTAAACCTCGTCTTAAATCGTAAGAACATTTTCGCTTTTACACAGCTAATTTAATTGCAGTATTCATATTTGCTAACTGAGCTGTGATTTTTTAAACTTTAATTTGATTAATTTGTTGCCTTGTGGCAGTTGTTGCAAAGGAAAGTTTTATACCGTTTTTCAGTCTTAAATTTATATTAGATGTTTTCTCGTCTGTTTAGTTGTGAAAAGATTTTCAGCATAAATCACTGTTCACTTTGGAGGTGTTCAGAAATGAAGCTTTTTTATTGTCGCAACTTTTTCAATCTTCTTTGGTTTCTTATTGCTTTTGTTTGTTGTTTTGATGCTTGTAATCATAATCAGTGATTGGACATTTAAAAATTTTGGGATTTAAATATGAGTTTAATTTATTTGAATTGATAACGGCATATGCGATTATGACGATTATGAACAAAGATGATAATCATGTTTGTCTCTGAGTTTTAGCAGCGTTTCGAGTGTCTTCTTGATGTAGGATGGTGTAATATGAAGTGATCTGTTTGCAGTGAGTAGTTACATTTATCCGAGCTTGTTTATTCGAGAAGGGACGACGACGTGGAGCCTTCTTTTTACGGACAGAAGGTCGTAGCAGAATGTGATGTTTGTATCATTTCTGACAGAAACGTTGATGTTGTATAAGAAGGGAAGTTTGGAATGTCGTTCTAAGACTTTCATGATTGGACCATTTTTTACGCCCTTCCTTTCATGAAATTAATGATTAAACGTCGATCTCTGTTTTTGTGCCATTGACAGGCAATGCGTTATTTCTAAG